GAGCGTCGCGGGACACTCCAGTATAGCTCAGTGGATCGCTGAGGTGCGCAAACCGTCACACCACGGTAAGGTCCAGTCTCTTTGTGACGGATGTGGTTAACAGAATCACATGACTAAGTAGTCAAACTAGGGCAGTCTCAGAGTGATTCTTAGGACCTTGTGATCGCGGAGGACAGGCTTAAAATGACTAATCAATATGGTCTCAGCGAACTTCAACTTCCGTGGCCGCCTACTTCGTGTTAAAACCCGGAACGATGAGTTGAGTTCAACTCTGTGACGTATGCTGATTTGACCCTGGATTCGACCAGCATTGGATTGGGGTCAGCTGATGTATAAATGATATTCAAAGGGATTTTTCAGCCGTCATTAAAACGAGAGACTGGAAGAACGTCTACTGAAGTCGGTACTTTGACTGGTGGCATTGGCATGCCCCGTGTATTTGCATTTGCACACGACTATGCCGTACTGTGAGTTTGGTGCGAGGATACGTTTGGTGTCCGTTCAAATAAGCTGAAAGCATGATCCCCAGTGTAAGGTAGATTAACGTAAATGTTATTTTTCGGTACTGTGCTAGTTTCAGTTTATCACAACCGTCGACCACCCATCCTGCCCTCCGCGAGTCCGTTGAAGTTGATGGTTCCTCTTCTAGTCTGGGTATCTCAGAAAACACACGCGGAGTTGATGACGAAGCTCACTGTATTTCCTTATTGGAGAAAGTTACAGCAGAACGGGACCAACTAAAAGCAACACTCCGAGAACGGTAGCGAGCTGTGGAGACACTTGAGTCCTGTATCATCGCCAATACTGACACGAAGGAGAAAGAATTATGACACTTTCTGGCGCCTTTCTGCTCTTGTCACTCACTATTAAATAGATTGATGGTGGTGTGAGGAGATTTTGTATTTTGTTTCAATCGAGATTTCCTCTTGTCAATGAAGCCAATCCATACTGAAAAATCGAGAAGCATTGTACGGCTGTTTTATTCTTATTGAGGAACCAGAGGCAATGCGGATCTCTCAACCTGTGCTGCCCCAAGATCTCGAATACATTGTTACTACGCGTGCTTAGCAGCCATGGATTAGTTATGCCAGTGGCATGAGAAATACCGCAACTCATCTGAGTGTAGCGCTTGGAACATTGTTGATAGATGGATAGAGAATTGTAAGTGACCTAGGGGAAAGAATTTGCTTAATCATGAACGCTGGAGAACAGTTATTTGGTTTATTCCTTCGGTGTGGTACCAGGAGCACAAGAAATCACCTTTCTTCCAAATAAATTGTGCATTCTGAGCGTCACATCCTAGAAGGTGACGGTTGGTTAAAAGTAGAAAAGCTCTCATATACAGCAGCTGCTCCCGAAGGGGCCTGCTACCATGGTGCCTTTGGTGAGGAGGTCGTATCCACTACCTTATAGTGGTGATGTTTCCATAAAAGTGAAAGAGTGGAGGCGGGTACCGAGTCTTTTGGCATTGCTGATGGTTTATTAGCTGTCCGTCTATAAGAGTTGGTTACTTTCCGACTTTCAAGCAACATCGCCGAGAATACGAATCTATTCCTCTTGACTGGACGGGTGAGATCGCCTCTAGAACCCAACGGCAATAAACGCGGGTTTTGTCTTGTTTCCGTGTGCGATTATTATGCTATCTTGCGGTTATATATCTTGCAGTTATATAAAGCCCCACTAAGCACTTGGGGTCTCACTCGTATTATACTCTTTGTTACTTTCTGAATGTTCCAAAATCAACAAAATACCCGGGAAACGACATAACCTATGACAAATCAGTTGGGTATGATGAGTAAGTAAACTGAGGCCTTAAACTTAAGAAGAATTGTTGACATTGGCTGCTAGGGTGATTGCAGTCAGAAGCTAGCCATAATTATTTGCTATATATCTCACCCCCGTCACAAAGAGCCTGAATCTTACCGTGGTGTGACGGCTTGTGTACCTTTGCGACTCACTGACCTATACTGGGGGGTGTCCCAACGACATTCACAGAGGGGTTGGAACATGCGTGGTGACTTGTTCCTTAAAAAACGGAAGTGTATTTGCGTTTTCTGTCAAATACCGGTGACTTGCGGTCAGGCTTTTGAGCCAAAAGCTTCAATTGAGGATTCTTATCGCCCTGAGAGTATCCCAGCCTGCATACAACCACGAATTGCACATATAGAAATAAACTCATGCCACATCGACCGTCGCTTGATGCCATCAGCCGGGTCGCCTTAGTCGCTGTATACGTCAGGACGCGTAAGCGAAAACAGGCTATTGCTGACACCTCTTTTCACATGCTTTTTGTTCCCCTCTCCCCACCTCAGTAACTCCCTCAGTGTATGCCCAGCACTTCGGACTGATGACTTCGTTCATTTTGCATCGATTTGCGTACAATTTCCGCTCGTCACGTGACGCCAACACCGTCAGATATATCGAAATCAATCTTCAAGCTTCAATACGCAATCTATCTGACCGCCTTTAATATCCGCACTCTGAAGTAGGCAGGACAACAAGCCACTCTTACTCTCACACTGGACTCCTTCGGCAATGATGTGCGCTGTGTCTCAGAAACGAGAACTCAAGATGCAAGGAGAGGGTTCTTTTTATGACAGTGAAGCATTCGTGTTGAACATTGATGTCATGCTGTAGGTGATGATGAGATATCTCACCCGCTAGCTATGCCACATTTGACGTGGGGAGCAAACAAATCTCTGTAGCGGGAATTGCGCTGAGCTACGAAGTCTTGAAGTTAGGATAACTGGACGAGACACACTCTTGATCACAGTCGACTGGACCGCCAATGGGGACAGATCAACCGACCCTGCTAGAAGGGACGCCATATAAACATCGACTGCATGGTTTCCGCGGTTCGCTCCTAAACACCGTTCGTACCGTGTATGCCTTGAGTTGGCTCGTCCTCCGATCAGCCGATGCAGTGCCATATTTGTGATCGGCCAATTCGCTGGCGCAGTTGACCTTGTCCCTACATTTGATTGGTTGACTTTATTGATTTTGTCGCGTCTTACTACCCTGGTGTGCGTCGGTCTTTCGTTGGGTTTCCGTCCTGCTTTAAGGGCACTGCAGTGAGTGGTCATTGCCGCAGCACATCGGCGGACGAGAACCGCTGGATGACTATTGCACATCGTGACGTTCGCTTTGGAATGCTTTCGGGAAATATTGTCCAGAGAGTAAGCACAGTTTGAGGTATCGCAACAGCGGTTGTTCGAAGCAGACAGCACACACGTTGCTACAACATCTACGGGCTTATCAGTATCCATCGTAGACAAGTTGGCGCACACAACGGAATTTCAGTACCAACCAGAAGCATGATTTCCTCGCTATAAAGATTTGCCAAAAGTTGATGGGTACAGTCTGGGTGATGCTGCTCGTCATGTCTCTTTTTGGAGAAATGGGGTTCACGTGAGCATGGAAATTGTTATGGTTAAATTCGAGCCCTTCACAATGAGGTGGAGTATGAGACTCTCAAAATATCGATTTCCAGTGAGTGATTCCGGTGTTGAAAACGTTGCTGTTCAAATGTTTTTGTAACAACTAGCCAGAACCACCATTCACTGAGGAACTATGTTACCCTCGTGAAGAAAACGGTGTTTCCGTTCGAGTTCAGTTGAACGTTGTTTCAAGCGTTCCCTTAATGATAACGAAACAAGTTTGGTTGACCCATTTGACCAAAATTCACGCACCACTTACGACGCAGCTGGTATAGACTCAATTCTACTTGGACAGTCCAGATGTGAGTTTGAATTATGTAAACCGCATGCGAGGGCGTCTGGTGTGTTGTACGTTGTGAGCATCTAAACTTGTTGGACAAACTGAATTCATGGGACAAACCCTTAGACAGTATTTGCGAAAGTTCAGGTAGTTTTTCATTATGTCCCTCCGATTTCTTTTGTTGGGTTGTACCACTAGTTCTTAAGGATATTGCAGAGGCTTTACTACATTTCGAGTTTAGGTACCCTGCTACTTTTACAGAGGGTCCTAAGATGTTTTCCAAGATGAGAGCTGTGTTTTTTATGCATCCTGGTAAAGGCTGGGGATTTTATCCAAAGCAGCCTGTACTATATGCCTCTGTTGAAGCAGTAGATGCAGAACTCAATCGACTGGAATCTATGAGTGTGGCCTGTTCATTGTTGGCCTCACCTATTGTAGCTCTCTGAACAACTAACAGTGGTACGCATATTCAAGCTGATTTTTCAGACGGACTACATAACATAACAGTGTTATCTACCAGTTCCAGAGTATTTATTCACAAAACAAACGAAGGGAAATTATTTTTCCAAAGCCGATCTTTCTGATGTATACTTGTAGGTAGGGATCAAGGGTCGCTCCACAGAACTGAAAACCTTTACAACGTTATCTTGGGAGGTTAGGTCTGCTCCAGAAATATTTCAGCATGTGAAGAATGCTATGCTTCGTGGATTGCACTTCCCAATGGCTTACTTGGGTGACAACCGAAGTAAGCTCCGCGTGGAAGGTCATCATGCATTCCTGGAAGAAGTAGTCCTCCGGATGAATGCATACGGAGATGCATACGTGTAGATACGTGTAGATTCGCAGTGATACCCAGCATCAAGTATATTGGCCTTGTCATCGACAGTCCCGGTCGTCAACCATACCTTAACAAAATAAAAGCCTCACATCAGTGCCACCCTCAGGAACTCATAGTTATCTAATGCTGTCTGATCCCCAAAAGGTTCTTAGTCATTACCATGAAGGGCATCCAGGAATCAGTCATATGAATTTCATTGCTGTCAGCTATGTTCATCGGCCATTCATGGCTTAGGATACTGAATATGCCATTCGTTCTTGCAGAAGTTGTGTTATGGCCCCAAAACTACTCGTCACGTATGAGCCTCAGTCCTGGCTAGCCCAGGTGCGAACCGCTTGGTCAACAAGAGGTTACTTCGTTTGACCATCATCTCAAGGATAGAAAAGCTCCAGGGGAGGGTAGCATTCCTTTTGAGTCATGTCTCCTACCCATTACTCTTTCGTCTCCAACCCCAACTCTGTTGCATTAGAGAAGTTGAAGCAATTCCTTCCAACTGGGACATGCTGATTCTCCTCCAATGTCTAGGAGAAATGGCAAAACAGTATGCAAATATTTTCGGTAATCAGATTGTCGCCTAGGTCTTTGTTTCCATGCTCCTCACACGAGCGACTGTGCTAGGTGCTCATACATACTATCATAAAAGACTTCTTGGATTGGCGATGGATATCCGTGTGACGAAATACTTTTCCACACAAGCCAGTGCCAATGTAACCACCCTTAGCATAGAAGACGATGAAAGTGGATGCGTCACAGTTTTTAATGCTTTGATTCTGCCACTCTACAGAGCACATATCGATGCAGAAAGATACACTTTTACACAAATTACGCATACAGAACATAAGAAAAATCCAGATTTTTGACCATGAATACCTGCTAAGGCGCACTTAACGACTCAACAAAATATACATCTCGTTGGTTAGAAAACGATATTTCAGTATCTTTAAACATGCCTCCAGGAATTCAAAGAGTGACTCTGGAAGTTGTGAAACTATGCGCATCTCGGAAGTTGCACTAGGTTTGACGGTGTTTTGACCGACGAAGTCGGCGCACGGATTTCACAGGTCAGAATCGCATTTGCAAAATCTGTCCACTTGTGGCATTGAAAAGGTCTACTTCCGGATCCTAAGGGACGCTTGCATCAGAATGCGGTGGCTCTCTTGTTGTCTGTACGGCAGTGAAGCATGGTGTTGAACCACTGATGTCATGCTGTCGATGATGATGATGATGATGATGATGATGATGATGATGATGATGATGATCTTGTTGTCTAGTTGCGAGACTTGGCGGAGATATGGGGTATCCTCAAGTGTTCGACTACCGATGTATCGAAACTATAGTTGGATTTCACCGAAACCAGCAGCTTCGGAATAGGGTGATCAGGAGATGTGTCCTTGATAAAGCAGGTGGTAATTCACTCAGGGAATGCATTCGGCACTGTAAGCTAAGTCGGTTGGATCATGTGTTACGCAACCATGTGTTATGTAACCCTTCCGAAGAAAGCGTCGTTTTCCCTGCCTAACTCAGAGGGGCGGAAACCCAGAGGTGTGCAGAATTTAACTTGACAGCAGGGAATGAAGAATGGTACCAAAAGTTTGGGCGCCGTTGGTGTTGCTCCTTTTAAAGGACGGTGCCCACGTGACCCTCCATGTGCTTAGCTAAAGACTGAACAATTTGGCGGTTAGCCAGGGGCCTTCCAGCTGCCAGTCCCAGTCCAGGTTGCCTGGTTGAGTGTTGAAAGTGTGAGCACATTAGATGTTTGTGGTAGGCTAGCCCTGGGTCCATCCCCCATTTTTTCTTCTCATTATAAGGCTTTATTCAAATAAATTGAGATGGTTATGGGGCATCAGTGTTCTCCTCTGGTGTTGCTGTCAATAAAGACAATGATTTCAGCACTCCACGTCTAGAAAACCGACTCAGCTCCAGTTTGCAAAAACTGGAAAGCGAGTTAGGAAAACTCGTACTGGCTCTTTTTCTGTTCTTAGTGTGGAGCCCCCTCTTTTTGGAGCTCAAGTGAGAAATCGATTGGTCGGATTCAGGGGGATTCAGTCCCGACCTAGCTTATGGTATCCGTTGCTGAAATCGAATTTAATCTCAGCCAGTGGGGACCTTTCAATGCCGTCCGTGGACAGCGATAGTAAGAGACATCCGTGAAGTTGATTCATTAGTTGATTGATGTTTAGCGGAGTAATCCATGGTTAAAGGTTTCTACACATTTTGGAGAATGTTTTATTTTTGCGTGTAGTCCAAGATGACTCAAACAGCATTCTGGGAACAAAAAACTAAGTTTCGAGCTGTGGGAAGGAATCTAGCGGACGGATGATTTTGACACCGGATGTTGAAAATGTTGATATATGACTTTCAGTCCCAGCAGGGGAAATCAAGGAAAGCTGGCGGCCTTGCTAGTGTCTCACACGACCTGTAGTCCAAAATTCGTGTGTATCGTAGCAACAGATAACGGAATAAAGGTTGATATTCGAAAACTTGTGGATTCTGTATCAAGTGGTACAAACTTTCGTGCTGATTGATAAAGTACTGGCAGAAATAAGTAACAATCCCGAACCAAAAAGCGCAGCAACTTCTCGGGTTTCGCTTTTCAGATGCCGTCGAAAACACTAGAGTCAGAACCACTTGTTAGGTTTACCGTATCCATGACAGAATATTTTGTATTCTATCTGAATCTCGAGGCCTAATAACAACAGCAGCGCCATAGAGGAAAATCTTGGTAGCTTAGTTATCGTAGATGCTCGTTGGCTCGTTCGCTGAGCTGAGCAATTCGATTGCAAACGTTTCATCACCTCGGTGCGTTGTTAGAGAGTATAGTGGTGCGTAGCGATGGGTTTGTGGTTATGCTACGCTATCGCTGCTAGAGAGCAGTGGTACTTCATTGTGACTTACTGGAGACATGTTGGGTTCGTATAAATTTAGTTGAGTATTTTTTCCCGATTTCTCACCTGAGCTAAACTGTAGTTATATAGTGGGATTGGTAACAAAAGCAACTACGCAGAAAATTATGAACTGTTGTGCGGCGCTAGCCTACTGGGGCCTAGAGTTATATTACGAGATCCATCATACTGTGTAGCCTATCCGGAAGAAATGGTTGGATGTTAAGAATCTTGTTTTCCTTTACTGTTCTGCCCTGTGAAAAGTAATCTGAGCATTCCATTCATGAAGATATTTTCGGAAGCGTGTGCAAAACCCAGATTATCCTCAGTAGCAGGACGGTTTATTTCCTAATCTTATCTTTTTGGCTGTATTGAAAAAGTTATGAAGTTTACGGACAGCTGATGAGAATTTTGTGATTGAGAAGGTTAATATCATAGTATCTCATCTGCTTGTGAATAAGTTAAAGGGCGTGGGGAGTGTGCTCAGAACCACTGTAGGTCCGATGGACTCAGGTTTTATTGCGGTTAAGGCACAGTGGAATTGAAGAAGTTTGTGACATAATACTGGATAATAAAGGATAAACAGAGCTTATTGTTCGTTGTCGTTGATTGATAAGCTTTATTAGGAAAGAACCCATAGACTGTTATCCACAGATCTCTTTGTTATGTACATATCAACGCGGTGAGTAAGGAAAGCCTCTGTATGCACATAGAGGCATCTTTCTTCTCTGTAGATAGAAAGGCCAATGTGAAAAGTAGTCAGATTAATATAAGACTCGAGTCAGCTGCAGAAGGATTAAGTGCGGCGCAATGTGTCCAGGGAACTGTGACCTCTTCATGGGCGTCCACTTTCTGGAGCCTGCTCCTCTTTACCGGGAATGATTCTCTCAGCACTTTGGAAAAAATTATCGGCAGTTTGGACAAGATTTTTGGTTAAAGCTTTTATATATATATATAAAGAAATCGCCCTTTGACTATAGTTCATTTCATCTTTGTGACATTTAAAACTGAATTTCTTGTTTACCGTCTACCACAGACTGTTCTCGTTGGTTTGGGGTAGATTTGGATACGACTTTGATCCCATCGGGACCGGAAACAACGGATCGGTCAAGTGAGTATACTGTTCGGGTGTTAGTTGATATGAAAGTGAAGAAGGATATTTTATTGATGAAATACAGTACTCATACCCCACCATTGGTTTTGCCCCTCCCGGGGCTCATTAGCTAGGCGTAGTTCGCTTGGTGGTGCGTTCTGGTCTTAGTGCTGCACATTTAGTTGAAGGCTATCAGTTGGTTTTCTCGTTTAAAACCACTGTAATTTTCATTAGTGACGACGCGCATGTCTTCCCATCACATTGCGCAAAGGCAACCCCTTAAAAACGTAAAACTTGCCATTTTTTGTCCGCCCCTTCTATCTGTGGCCTTCTGTTGTTCATGTAAGGTAACAGCTGAAGTGCGCATCGTCTTTTTCCACGGCTCTGCGCTTTCAGTTTTTGAAGAAATTTTGATGCAACTCCAAGTTATTCCTTTGATATTTGCTTTGCACCACCCTCTGTCTAGAATCTACCGAAAAAGAGAAAAATGTTTGTACCCCCTCTTTTTCAATCTAATTAAGTACAGCTCAGAAATTGACAGGCAAACGGAAACACAGTTGACCGTCGTTGACTTCCTCGAATGGGAATTCGCCCCAAAATGCCACATCCACAGCTTAATTAGCTTGTGTATAATCGAATCAAGCACAAAAATGGAAAAAATATCACGAAAACTAGAACTGTTGAACAGTATCAGATGATCCTGTAACGCTGGACCCAGAAACCCAACCCTCCAGAAGTAAATTCTATACACCATTAATTGGAAAATATCATACCACCTTGGAGTGTGCCAAACAAAACCTATCAGTATTGATTTGTTTACGATCGTCCTTGTTAAAGTACTGGCAGAAATAAGTAACAATCCCGAACCAAAAAGCGCAGCATTTTCTCGGGTTTCGCTTTTCAGATGCCATCGAAAACACTAGAGTTAGAACCACTTGTTAGGTTTACCGTATCCATGACAGAATATTTTGTATTCTATCTGAATCTCGAGGCCTAATAACAACAGCAGCGCCATAGAGGAAAATCTTGGTAGCTTAGTTATCGTAGATGCTCGTTGGCTCGTTCGCTGAGCTGAGCAATTCGATTGCAAACGTTTCATCACCTCGGTGCGTTGTTAGAGAGTATAGTGGTGCGTAGCGATGGGTTTGTGGTTATGCTACGTTATCGCTGCTAGAGAGCAGTGGTACTTCATTGTGACTTACTGGAGACATGTTGGGTTCTTATAAATTTAGTTGAGTATTTTTTCCCGATTTCTCACCTGAGCTAAACTGTAGTTATATAGTGGGATTGGTAACAAAAGCAACTACGCAGAAAATTATGAACTGTTGTGCGGCGCTAGCCTACTGGGGCCTAGAGTTATATTACGAGATCCATCATACTGTGTAGCCTATCCGGAAGAAATGGTTGGATGTTAAGAATCTTGTTTTCCTTTACTGTTCTGCCCTGTGAAAAGTAATCTGAGCATTCCATTCATGAAGATATTTTCGGAAGCGTGTGCAAAACCCAGATTATCCTCAGTAGCAGGACGGTTTATTTCCTAATCTTATCTTTTTGGCTGTATTGAAAAAGTTATGAAGTTTACGGACAGCTGATGAGAATTTTGTGATTGAGAAGGTTAATATCATAGTATCTCATCTGCTTGTGAATAAGTTAAAGGGCGTGGGGAGTGTGCTCAGAACCACTGTAGGTCCGATGGACTCAGGTTTTATTGCGGTTAAGGCACAGTGGAATTGAAGAAGTTTGTGACATAATACTGGATAATAAAGGATAAACAGAGCTTATTGTTCGTTGTCGTTGATTGATAAGCTTTATTAGGAAAGAACCCATAGACTGTTATCCACAGATCTCTTTGTTATGTACAACGCGACGCGGTGAGTAAGGAAAGCCTCTGTATGCACATAGAGGCATCTTTCTTCTCTGTAGATAGAAAGGCCAATGTGAAAAGTGATTAATATATTATATATATATATATAAAGAAATCGCCCTTTGACTATAGTTTATTTCATCTTTGTGACATTTAAAACTGAATTTCTTGTTTACCGTCTACCACAGACTGTTCTCGTTGGTTTGGGGTAGATTTGGATACGACTTTGATCCCATCGGGACCGGAAACAACGGATCGGTCAAGTGAGTATACTGTTCGGGTGTTAGTTGATATGAAAGTGAAGAAGGATATTTTATTGATGAAATACAGTACTCATACCCCACCATTGGTTTTGCCCCTCCCGGGGCTCATTAGCTAGGCGTAGTTCGCTTGGTGGTGCGTTCTGGTCTTAGTGCTGCACATTTAGTTGAAGGCTATCAGTTGGTTTTCTCGTTTAAAACCACTGTAATTTTCATTAGTGACGACGCGCATGTCTTCCCATCACATTGCGCAAAGGCAACCCCTTAAAAACGTAAAACTTGCCATTTTTTGTCCGCCCCTTCTATCTGTGGCCTTCTGTTGTTCATGTAAGGTAACAGCTGAAGTGCGCATCGTCTTTTTCCACGGCTCTGCGCTTTCAGTTTTTGAAGAAATTTTGATGCAACTCCAAGTTATTCCTTTGATATTTGCTTTGCACCACCCTCTGTCTAGAATCTACCGAAAAAGAGAAAAATGTTTGTACCCCCTCTTTTTCAATCTAATTAAGTACAGCTCAGAAATTGACAGGCAAACGGAAACACAGTTGACCGTCGTTGACTTCCTCGAATGGGAATTCGCCCCAAAATGCCACATCCACAGCTTAATTAGCTTGTGTATAATCGAATCAAGCACAAAAATGGAAAAAATATCACGAAAACTAGAACTGTTGAACAGTATCAGATGATCCTGTAACGCTGGACCCAGAAACCCAACCCTCCAGAAGTAAATTCTATACACCATTAATTGGAAAATATCATACCACCTTGGAGTGTGCCAAACAAAACCTATCAGTATTGATTTGTTTACGATCGTCCTTGTTGTAAATAGGCCGTACTCCAAACTTCATTGCGAAACATCATTCGTTTGTTTTAAATCCATGGGATACGCTGGAGCTACATGTACCTAGCAGAAAAAATGCAAGGAATCTAGTTAAGATTGTTACATTGTATCTTTGCATTCAGTCCGTAGTTAGGTTACTGTGGCACCACCTGGTTATGAATGCAGGCTAAACCGCGACAGTGCTCACGAATTACGCGAACAGTACATGCAATAGAAGACTGTTTTTGTGAGTGTTTTGAATTACGCACATATCCCACAACTTCATTAGTACTCAGAATAAGCGATCCACACATTAATGTAAGGTTGCCATAACCGTCGATGACGGTTCTGTAGGAACTACCGTGCTAAGCTTATGCCTTGATGACTGACATTTATTTGATTGTGACTGTAAAGAACAAATGATACGTAAGGACAACTTCAGTCGGCTTCGCCAGGGCTTACTACTATTGTCGTTCATTTTTTAAGAGCATGGTCACAAACGCGAAAAGTAAATGCAAGCGATAGATGTGGAAGGGTTACAGGAGATTATTAGATAGAACGAGGGAACCGTCCCATTCGAAGTCTTGCCACCAGCAGTTCCAGTCGGACAGAATAAATCCCAACGTATGCAAGAATATTTGTTATGGAAACACGCGTGTAGACACTGGCAACCGAAGGAAGGACAAACTATGCCCAATGCTCTTTAATGCGATAAGCGCTAGCACGGTCAAGCCTGGCATATCAGACACAAAGTGTCCGTCATATTGGGTCAGGTGTGAACACTCGACGCCATGTACCACGCATAAAGTCGTCATAAGTGGTACGCAGACAGCCCACAATGGCAAGCAAACTCAAGTCACTGAGTGTAACTTTAGAGTCCAGTAACAGCCCTGGTGAATTGAGGAAAGCAGATCTCTCGGTAAGAAATGATCATTGGTTGATGTATCGAAAGGTCGAGATCAGAATGGATTGCACGTAGGGCTGAAATTATGGCGAGGGAACATCCATCAACACCATAGTTCTGATTTTTCTCATTTCACACAGTTATTCCGCGCCCATCAGCGACCTAGGTCTATCACAGTTTCTCGGTGCTCCCGAAAAGCGATTAGGTCGGGCTTGGTGCAAGACGTTGAAATAGATGCTCCCAACTTCCCTAGGGCGATGTAACCCAGGCGACGGACATGTTTCCCGAGCTCCCTTGCAACCCGATTATGACGAGCACAGCGGGCATCATGCGCGATCCAACAGAGCTATAGAATATGCACCAAACTCAGTTTCCACGACAAGATCTTCTGGCCACCATGACCACATCGAGCACTCGTAACTCATCGTAAACAGGTTGTATGGGAGCTGGATACTACGGATAAATCTTTAAGGAAACACTCGTTCTGTAAATACAAGCCTTCGACTCGAAAGAGGCGAAACGATCAACTCTCGTAAACTGCGGCCGTCAACGATGTTGTGCAGACTATCGCCCCAAGCAGCCGCCAGCTGTTTCTTTGTGTACGCATGCACCTTGAACTTGGATCGGAGTGCTGAGATCCCGAATAATTTTGCCAAATGCGGAATCGTTGACCACATTGCGTAGTACTCAGCACCAGACAGACAGCAGCTTTTTATACGCTCTCTCCAATGCATCGGAATGTTGCACTCAGACTTGGGAAACCAAGCCCTCCATGCTGTTTACTGGTGTGGATGTGGCAGATTGGGGCGTGCCTCGGTAGACATAACCACCCACGAATAGATTGTCCGATGTAATTGTCCAGTCTTTTGAGCGAGTTTTCGTGAACTTGACCGAACACGAGCGCTTCGGTATCAGGTAGTTCCTCGTGATCTCCATTCTTTGATGTGGCTTCAACGGGACATGCGTCACCTCATCGAGCAGTTTGAGCAGCTGCTGTCGGTGGTTGCAGACTGTTCCCCTTGAAAGTAAAGCGGATGCCCAGCAATGCTACGGTCTTTCAGACTGAGAGAAGTGAAAAGTTCCTCAGCGAAGCAAAATGGTTCGACGGAGACCACTATTGCCTGAACTTACTTTCCCTGCAAACCACAATCGTCTCCGTTCGTGCGTTGACGCGTTACAGTACTTTTGCTGTAGCTGCCATCTCTATACGGCTTCTGTAGCGGTTAGCCCAATAAGAACCATAGCCATCGTAGCCACAGCAACAGGAAAATATAGTAGCCCCGTGAGGAAACGGGCTTTCGTCACCCAATCAAGCGATAATTACTGCAGGTGACCATTCGTAGCTTTTGCCTATGTTGTAGATCCACTGGTGCAACAGAAACCTATCTAAAAGCTGCATGCCTGTAAACTGTGATTCCATCCCTTTTTTCATTTATTCATTGTTTGTTTTTGCAGTGAAAATGAGCCGCTACCTCTTCAGGTTTTAAACAAAACACCGGGACCTTGGCTGTCCCTAAACACAAAGTTGCAACGTGTTAGTTTCAAATGCGAAACTTTTTTGCGGCCATAACTGACCACCACTAATTGTAACTGCACTGCGGCTTTCAGTACACTGTCTCGGTCGTAGACTAAGTTAGAAGGGCATTTTACGGATGAGCAACTCGGTGGACTTCTGGTAGCGATGGGTCTCACTGAGATCGATGATTCCAGGCATGTAGCGATGGGGTTTCTTCACACCGCCGGTGGCGGTGTATTCTTTCGTGCAGCCTTGGTCGCGAGTTGCTTCCTCGGGGCTTTCCAACCAGTACTCTTACGGGCAGTCTGTTTGGTTCGTGCCACCTTCTTTAGAGTAGCCACCAAAGTTGTCAGTTTATGAGTCAAAGCTTGGGTTCCGTTTGTCCGATCCGATTTTTGCACTCCTTACTAACAAGTTTACAGATCCTACTTGTCCAATCAGCCACCTACACTTAAATTTCGGAAACGTCAAACAGAAAACATGAAGGAATTTTGATTTCTAGCAAATTGAAAGTAGGCTACTACCAACACCTCGGAGCTTGAGTTTTTCAAAATTTTTACCAAATACTGATTGTCGTGGTGGTGCGTTCAAAGAAGAACTGACCGCACAGATAGAGTCCTAATATACTTTTAGGAGGCTTATTTTGCTGTGACCACTCTAGCACATGCGGTTCCTTCACGTGTGTGTGTGCCTGGGGGAGTGTATGGGAGACCTTGAAGGTTGCCATTAGTTGCCGTTCAGTACATATGGTTGCTTGCGTTACTAAATATATTAATATTTGACCAAAGTGACCCATGGCTTCACACTATCAGCTTTACAAAAGATGGGTGCTACTTTTGACTGAATGAAAACCAAAAAATGAATCCTTTAATCAGTCTGACTTCTATGGCTGTTTTCTTCATGTAACTTCTTTCAAACCTTGTCAAATCAGAGAAGAAAGAACAAGCTAATAGCGGTATCAAACGAGCGCATTTGAAGCTTAAGGAATGTAAAGGCGTAAAAAGAGGAGTTTTGCGGGAGAAACCTCAGAATGATATGAGCCATATAGGAGAGGGAATAAATGACGGCGAGATAACATACAATGAAGTAGATAAAGGGAATAGTAGAATCACAGTAGGTTTCACTACGAACAAGTGGCACCCTTAAAATGCTTTTTATTCCTGCGATCGCTTCAGTAAGGTCAATTTTTTAGCACTGCTGACAGACAACAGAGACGCGAACTTAACAATTATTTGTATCCGATGAGGTCACAGTATATCACGTTTATGCGCAGGGGATTTCCAGAATCTCCAGCAGTTAAAGGGGTTGTGGGACAGGAACACAGTATCATAGTGAGTATCTAACTCAGTAGCGTCCAAAATAAAATTAAGTAAAGAGTGTACAGAAATACTTGGATTATAACAGGACTAAATGATAGGTGCTCATTGCTCGATATTTTCCGGTGTAAGAATATCGGCTTCTCATAAAGCGAGTGTGGTGTGATTTGTTGCATTGATTTCATCGTTTGTTTTGTGGCAAACGGTTGCTGTAGGTGTGTTGCATTTTCTTGCTTTGGTATGATTTTGTTTTGTCTGTAGATCAAGTTGATGTCCATTTTTGTAATTGTAATTGTGTTTGCTCTTTGCTCTCGCGTTAGCGCTTTTTACTTATGATTTTGGACCGATAATTTTTGTGCATGTCTTTGTGCATGTTGTGAACAACAGATGCTGCATGTGTGAATGGCAGTGAATCTGTTTCAATGACAAAAGCAGATGGTTTGGAGTCATCGTCGCTGGTGGCTGCTGGTGAGTGAGTGTTGTGACTCGTAGTTTATTTTGTGCGTTGAATAGTTTGTTTCGCTCAAGTTGTGTGGTCCTGTTTGGTGTGTTCGGTGTATTGTTTTGTGGGACTAAATTGAATTGGATCATTGATTCAGATGACTTTAGATCTCTTTCGAACAATTCCATGCACTAACCACGTTCGAAAGTCAAAATCTGTTCTGTGGTACAAAAACATTTTGTGAGTGGTGTGGGAAGGTTTGGAAATTTTCATATAGGATTTTGTCCTGTAGTGCGCTACGCACTACCACGCCCCACAAAAACGCACTGATGATGTCACCTCGATTGGTGATGAAACGTTTGCAATCAAATTGCCCAGCGAACAAGCCAATGACAAAAGCAGATGGTTTGGAGTCATCGTCGCTGGTGGCTGCTGGTGAGTGAGTGTTGTGACTCGTAGTTTATTTTGTGCGTTGAATAGTTTGTTTCGCTCAAGTTGTGTGGTCCTGTTTGGTGTGTTCGGTGTATTGTTTTGTGGGACTAAATTGAATTGGATCATTGATTCAGATGACTTTAGATCTCTTTCGAACAATTCCATGCACTAACCACGTTCGAAAGTCAAAATCTGTTCTGTGGTACAAAAACATTTTGTGAGTGGTGTGGGAAGGTTTGGAAATTTTCATATAGGATTTTGTCCTGTAGTGCGCTACGCACTACCACGCCCCACAAAAACGCACTGATGATGTCACCTCGATTGGTGATGAAACGTTTGCAATCAAATTGCCCAGCTCAGCGAACAAGCCAACGACCACCATCTACGATACCTGAGCTAACAACATTTTCCTCTATGTTCAAACTGTTAACTGCCAACTTCTGTTGCTTTCCAACAAGGATGAGACAGCTGTGCAAAAATCCCTGCTTGTTATGACAGATTTCTCTGAAAGCACTTATATTTGTCGGAGTTTTCTGTGTACTCACCCGGTATTTTTCATCAGCCAGCAAATGGACCAGGCGTGGGAATGTTACGGCATTGTAGTTTCATTAAAAAAACATCCGTATGTGAAAGAGTGCGTTTCAAAGGGTGCTTATGTTATAAAAAAGGAAGACTACACCAGCTAAGTGAATGAGTTGATCCGGACCCTAGTTTACTTGTTCTTAAAGAATCGGAGTGATCATATTCACCGCTTGCACTAGCTTTTCTTGTTGTTATCAGTGGAACGTAATTTCCAGTTTGGTTAAGCGTAGAGACTAGGCTGCAACAGTTTTCTTCGAGGTCGGGACGTAGGGAATAGTGTTTTATCTTCATTGAAAGTTCTAGCACAGGCGAACGGTACTTGTTGCACAGCAGCTTCGTGGTCGCAAGCCTTGAGTTCACGGTGTATTCGTCGTATCTCGTTTTGAATTGAATCAGCTTTGACTGTACTTCTGTGGAATGTAAATCAACAGGAAGCGAATTGATCGTAGCGAGCCATAGTTTTAGCGAAAATTCAATTGAGATAATTGATCATGCCATTCAGTCTGAAAGCCGCTCTGGTATCATCAAGAATAGGCTTATTTTGCATTGCATGGGTTTTCTTTGGATTTACACACAAGCCATTCAGTGTTGGAACGTATGCAAGACCCATTTTTCTTCTCTTTTTTCTGGGCGTTCGTGAATACCTTGTTCGATACGATGATTGAGAAGTCTAAGTTGGTGTTGTGCTCTTCAAGTGTCTTCCCAAATATTAGTGCGTCATTAGAAATATGAAGTTCGTCTGATGTTCGGATAAAGTTTTTTTGAAATATCTTGTTGGGGACCATCAATCCTGATGAAAGACGCAGCCATCCAAATCGGCCGAAAGGGATATCGAGCGTAGTGAGGTAGCTTATTTTTTGTCGAGTGTCACTAGTCAGGAAAAGGACGGCAGTTTAAAATTCATGAATAGCCTTGCCTAACATAGGTCGTGCTCTTAAGCAGTCCATAATGTTCGCGGCGCAGTACAGAATTCAACATGGCACAATTGCTAAGAATTACAATTTACCCACTGTATTTACAACTACTGCTATTTGACTGACTTAATCTGCAGCTATGTCAACGTAGTCGGATGATTCAGCTTAGGACACAAAATTTCCCATAGCTCTGCCGGCAATGCTACCGGAACTGCACTGTCTGCGGCGTGAGCAACCTGATTTCTTCTGGAAGGCGAATTAGATTCCTCAGAAAAACGGAGGTGTATTTATCAAAACGTGTCCGAGTGGAAAGTAAAATTTCGTAGTTAATGGCAATGAGGTTCGATTCCTCGGTCGGTGAAAAGCCGAGAGTTGGCGTCAGATCTTCCTTTGTCACCCACGCTTCTGCGGTATATCGTTGCCCATCCTTAAGTTTTTCACATTCAGTTGCACCTTTCCGGTTACCTTGAAATGTGCACCGTTTGACATTCATAGCTTTAAGCCCACAGGGAATAACAACAGCTTTCTGATATAGTGATCACCTTTGGCACTTATGCATAAGCCTGAATCCAAATGAAATCGACAGTGCCGATATTCAGCAAGCAGGATAGTATAGAATCCAGACCGCTAACCACTCACTCAGTCGATTTCACATTTCACTGATCATTGAACACTTGATCATTTTAACGGCACTTGATGGGTGCTCACATGCAGTGTGACTACTATTACCACATTTGGAGGGTGCATTCTCAGAAAAGCTTCAAACCACTGGGTTCTGCATCATAACCACTTTCGGCTCCGTATGGACAAGTCCGGAATCTGAAAACAGCAGGCAATTTAACGGTGATTTCAGCGTGAGAGCAGGCGGAGAATGAAAAGACAAAGTGAATTGATCGCGAGCGGTGTGGGTGTGTGCGTGTGTGT